ACTTGTGAAATTGATTTATTTTAAGTTATTGATTATCTTGAATTTTTATTATTATTTCCACAAAATTAACGTTAAATAAAAGTTTAAAATTAACATTGAATTTTTTATTTTTAATATTTCAATGATATTAAAATATAAACTTAAAATTATTTGTAATATAATTTTTTAAATTTCTTAAAAATTTTATAAATATCCATGGATATCTGGGGATATCCGTGAGTATTTAAGAAATTCATGGATACCCGCTTAATGGATACCCGCGCGGATATGGGGTGGGTATGGGGCCAATTTTCATTCAGCGGGGCAGGGGTGAGTTTACTATTACTCGTCCCCATGGGCCCCATTGTCATCCCTAATTGAGTGTGCTAACGATTTAGAAAAATATAGGTTAAAAACCTATTTTGGTCCCTTATAATAATTGTTTGTTTCAATTTAGTCCCACTTTTATTTTTGGTTTCAATTTGGTCCCAAATAAATTAATTGGTTTCAATTTGGGACTTCCGTCCAAATTATTTAAACGGAGTTAACTATTGGTCATGTGTATGCCACGTAGATGCATAGGTGGATGCCACATGAGTGCCAATTTTTTTGAAAACACCTGAAACTAGAACAGCCCATTCTGGATGCACTCTTGGTGTGTTAATTTTGCATCTGAAACGGACCGTTCCAGATGCAAAATTAACACACCAAGAGTACAGCAAAATAGTCCGTTCTGAAACCAGAACGGTCCGTTCCAAAACTGAGAATAGAATATTCTTTATTAATTTTATTAAAAAATATAATAATTTTGAAAAATATTTTTTTATGGTAAAAATTTTAAAATTACTTATTTTTATAAAATACTTTGTCTTATAAATAAAGTAATAACTTTTTCTTTTTCTCTTTCTGTCTGAAGAAATATTTAAGTGTCACAACATAATTAAATTCTTAAAAATTTGATATAGAACATTAATTATTAAATAGAATAAATCTATCAAGGCTTACTCTTGAAGTAAGTAAATTTTTCTTCATTAATAATGAAGATAATTTTAACACAAAATAAAAAATAATTAAACAATAAAATAAAATATAAAAAAATATTAAATAATTAAAATATAATTAATAATATATATTTTATAAAATTATTAATATTTTATATATAAAAAAAAGAATGAAAAAAAGTTTAGTCAAGGCAAGTGCCCCTACTATGATTAACTTAGATCTGTCCCTGCATATGGTTGTGTGGTGAAATGTTAGTCCTGTGTATCATCTTCCTTTACTTCAAGTTCTACCTCTTTAAGTTGTTGTTTGAGTACATCATTAATGACTTCAAGGAAAAATACCATGTCATTTCATCCTTTACTTATAATGTCAATTTGGTAGTAAGTGGTTCACTCCAGTTTGAAATGAAATAAAATTTGCTACCATTGTCTTTAGTGATACATTGCATTGTCCTTAATAATACACTGTATAGCCTAACTGTTTAGCAATTGAAGTTATCAATTTCCATTGACAATATTACCAAATTCAGTGTTTGAAATGCTTTGTACCTTGGGTCTTTTTCCTTCCATGATTCACAACCGTGAACTATAATCATTGATCGTTTATGTTTAGCAGTCTGGAACCAGAACGACCCGTTCTGAAACCAGAACAGCCCGTTCTGGTTGCACTTTTAGCGTGTTAATTTTGTACCTGGAACGAGCCATTCCGGATGCAAAATTAACACACTAAAAGAGCAACTAGAACGGCCCGTTCTGGTTTCAGAACGGCCCGTTCTTGTTTTAGAATGGGTCGTTCTGGTTCCAGGTGTTTTCAAAAAAATTGGCATTCACGTGGCATCTACTTATGCATCTATGTGGTATCCACGTGACCAACAATTATTGTTGGATAATGGGGCCTGACGCCAACCACATACAATATATACAATATTATTTTGAAGCTACAAAACAAGGTTTGGTCTGAGTTTTGGTCTGAGTTTTGGCTGGTCAAAATTGAAGCCTTGACTGAGTACATGCATAGAATATGAGATTCCAAAAGATGAATTGCTGAGAATTTGCTTAGTTCTGTTACCACCTTAGTTCTCTGCCTCTGTCCAAGAAACAGTCTCAATAAATGATTTGTTTTTGTCCGCAGCATATATCTTCAATTTTTTTCTTCTCAATTTAGAAACATTTTATATTTTCTCAATGCCAAATCTCAACCTTTATTTAATTATGACAAAGTGGTTTTCTGAAATCATAAGAGCGACAATAAGTTGTAAGAAGTTTTTTCCTTTTTGGGTCCTGATTGACAGCAGCCATTATGCTGTTGGTAAGACATTGGATATGTGAGTTGCCTTCCTGTCTTTGGAAGCTGGATTCTGCACAATTACTAACAAAAATATTGTTGAATTATGTTTTTCGTTGCATATTTTAGGCATGAAAGTTGAGGTCTAAGTCAGATATAATAGTTAGTATTGCTAAAAGCAACGAAGACCAAGAAGAAAAGGAGGGAGATGGGAAAATGAATTAGTGCTAAACTGTTAGGCATCCTTTACATCCTTACTTTGTAAAATCATTATTAATAATCCCTTTTATTTTCTTATAATGTACGGGAAGGTCCATGATAATGAGTAATTGTAGGAGCCATAAAAAAGTTAAACCACAAAAGCTAGCTTTATGGATGGGTTGGCAATTAAAGGTTTATAACAGAGGCTACTGCATCAGTTTATCCTAAATTTCGCTATGTGTTGCTTATGAGTCCATGTCTAAGGTAAATACCGCAGTTGCATGCTTTAGCAATTGGATAGATTGATACTATTTCTGTAGAAAAAGAAGGGAGACGAGTAACACTAATAATTGTGGGTGAACGTAGCAACTCACTGTATTTTTTATTGAATAAAAGATGGTCTTTAAATAACGATTGTACAACATACCAAATTAACAAGAAGATAACAAAATATCTTATCAAAACAAATCTTATCAAAAACTATCTTATCTAAAATGAAACAAACAACTCAAAACAGACTAAACAAACTAATTCAGATATCTCTAAAATTTAAGATTATCCAACAAAACTCCCCCATAAGCTTAAATTTCTCCTTCTTTTTTCATTTTGATGCCTCTTCCAGCAGAGCGCGATACTTCTCCGCGCACAATGGCCCTGCGAGCCACGCGATGTCCAGCAACCCCGGCGCCGAGGTGGCCGATGCCTCTTTTGGGACACAAAAATACCTGTTGTTCTTTGGTCCACCTCTAAACCTAGAAAATACTTCATGATGCCCAAATCGGTCATCTCAAACTCCCTCTTCATCACTTCTTTAAACTCCTCAACTAGCTCAGCTTTGCTTCCCATCTCACTCTTCTCAATTGATCTGATCTCCTCATCCATTTCTTTCTTCCATCTTTCATCAAGTACCGCCTCTTCAAATTTTATGTCTTCTATTCCTGTCAATAGACATATTACATGTAACTCGTCAGTGGAGTTATAGATGTCTTGCAAGCTCCGAGTTCTAAGCTGCTCAGGTTCATCATCTTCCTCGGAATTCTCATTGGTCCTATCCGAGCTTCTCCCTATTATCTCCGAGCTTCTCCCTATTATCTCCGAGCTTTTCCCTATTATCTTCGAGCTTTCCCTCTCAGAGTTCAAGCTCTCCGAAGTCTCTTTAGAGTTACTCCAGCTCCACTCACTTTCCTCATCTACCTGGACATCTCGACTTACCAGAATTTTGCTTGTAACAGGGTTGTACAATTTGTAGGCTTTTGCCTTTTCGTCATACCTGATCAAAATATATTTCTTGCTCCTATCATCGAGCTTCGTTCTGAGCTGAGCTGGAACATGACCGTAAGCAAGGCTTCCGAAGATCTTGAAGTGATGTATACTCGGTTTTTTCTCCACTCCATGCTTCTTGAGGTGTCACATCATCCAATTTTGAATGTGCGCACCTGTTCTGTATATATATAGCACACTGCACTGCCTCTGCCCAAAATTTCTCAGGCATATTCTTCCCTTTAAGCATAACTCGGACCATATCAAGAATAGTCCGATTCTTTCTTTCAGCTACTCCACAAATTGTAGAAAAAGAAGGGAGACGAGTAACACTAATAATTGTGGGTGAACGTAGCAACTCACTGTATTTTTTATTGAATAAGAGATGACCTTTAAATAACCATTGTACAACATACCAAATTAACAAGAAGATAACAAAATATCTTATCAAAACAAATCTTATCAAAAACTATCTTATCTAAAATGAAACAAACAACTCAAAACAGACTAAACAAACTAACTCGGATATCTCTAAAATTTAAGATTATCCAACAATTTTACCAATGGCTTGTAGCTAGACCCATTTCATGATTTTAATATGGGTCACTAGTCCGAGAACTCTCTTATAGTTGGTTGGTTCAACATCTATATATAAATATTAGTAACTAGACATCTCAACTATAAATTTTGGTGTTGATTTTCATTGTTTACCTGCTGGCTGCTGAGGAGTTTATTAAATTGGAAGCATATATGAAATGGATATAACTGTTGCAAAGCTACTCAGTGTCAGATATAAAATATTTATGTAAATAAAATCATATGATGCCTGTACACTGTATAGAGTTTTTCAGCATCATTTTGATGAACTGATTGTTTCAAATCAACTTACAAGAAATAAATTACAAAGTATTAAGATATTTATGAAGTGAGGGGATTCACGGTCATAGGGATAGTTCATGCATCTCTTTTTATTATTTATTATTTTTAGTTGATAAGAGACTAAGACCCCGAAGAAGAGCCAATGGAAAACAGTAAATTTTGTTTTAGTCAGTGTATATGACTTGAAAAGGAGTTCTTTCGATCAGAGGTAATTCTTGCATGGTTATGAAATTTGGAACTTGTTATCTCACTTGACCGTGAATTAATTGTGCCAAATCAATGGATTTTATTCTTAGTAGCTGATGAGATGTTACAGTTATGTTAAGCAACTATTAATATAACTTAATCTGTTTTTATATTTTCAGTCAATAAATATTACTGAAAACCAATTAAAATGTCTGTAATGTGCCAAAAGATGCAATAGAACTCAGAAATCACACAACGATCACTTCACCCCATGAAGAAAACACAGCCAAGTAGATATCCAAGTCAAGACCAAGACGTAAAACTGTACAAGAAAAACTATTTTTCTAAATCCCACTCAAACTTTCCCAATGGCTAGCCAACTCAAGCAGGGTCTGTGTAGAAGAACCATCCTTCAGTGCATTGGCAGCAGATTCTTTTAAGTTTTCCATTCTTTCATGCATTCCTTTGCCTTCTGCCCCATCCATGAGACACTTTACCACCTTTGCAATTTCCTCCTTCTCAACTATGCCATTCTCATTCAACTTTGGCCTCAATGCCACTTTAAGTCCATTGGTTAACAACACTGCATTCATCTTCTGCTCTGCAAAGAGTGGCCATGTGATTAGCGGTACTCCCTCTTGCACACTCTCCAAGGTCGAGTTCCAACCACAATGGGTAAGAAATCCACCAACTGAATTGTGACTAAGGATCTGAATCTGAGGTGCCCATAAAGGCACAACCAAACCTTTCTCCTTTGTCCTTTCCAAGAACCCGCTTGGTAAGAATTGCAAAGGGTCCTCCTTTGCAACTTCAAGATAAGCAGAACTAGCGAAATTACTCGGTGCTCTCAAAACCCACAAGAACCTTTGACAACTCAATTCCAAACCCCAAGCTAGCTCATTAATTTGTTGTTGAGAGAGTGTTCCACCACTTCCAAATGAAACGTACAACACCGAACAAGGTGGTTGCTTGTCCAACCATCTCAAACACTTACCCGACTCATCAGCCTCATAGCTTGACCCTTTCTGTGTAATGGGTCCCACTGGGTATAATTTGACCTTCCCACCTCCAAACTCTCCCAACGCTCTTATAGCACTTGATTCCATTTCTATGAAAGTGTTGATCAAGATCCCGTCAGCTGTAGCGAATGCTTTGGCACGTTGAAGAAACTGCTTGTAAATTTCACTGGATCGGTTTTGGACAGGATCCGGAAGATCAACCCCCATGACTGGTACACAACCTGGCAACTTTATAGGTTCTGTTAGGTCCGCGTACTCACCTGAAACTTCCTCATCCATTTTTGGCCCGTGTAAAAGCAGTGACAATACCAAAGCTGAACTAGGGAAGTAAAAATAGGACAGGGCATTGAACTCCTTTGCAAACTCCAAGGCCTGAAACGCAAAAACATCTAACACCAAAGCAGCTAAAGGGTCTTTGGAGAATCGGGATTTGAGGACCTCATGTATTGCTGGCAGAGAATGAGTAACAGTGAGTTGAATCAGGATTGCAGGGTGTACTCCTTGGGGCAATTGTTCTTTGTTAATGGGAGGAAGTAAGATGGTTTGTATGTTTGAAGGAAGAGTTTCAAGGTAGGCTTTGGAGGACTCCGAGGGTGGCCCAAGTGAGGGAACGATGCAGGTTACATGAAAATTTGGGTGATGCTTCTCAAGTCGCTTGCTGAACTCGGTAATTGGGACCAGGTGGGTGAAACCAGGACTTGAAACAATAGTTATGTGAGTTGTTTTTGCCATGGAATTAAACAGAGTATAGAATATAGAGCTTAGGCTATTTGTGTTTATGTGCTCACAATTCGTGAAAGTTGTATATGATGATCTCTTTATGATACAAGAGCTCTCTTATATAGCAAATTACTCCACTGGCTAGTGTGTCCAGTTAATTACATTTACAGGCAATAGGAATTCACAAGAGCCAAAACTTGGTTTTGCTTTCCCTATTTTAATGTTATTAATTTACCCATTGCTTTCGAAGGGAAGAAAGCCATGATGTAAGATTGTCAGCGTGCATGCACTAAACCGTATATCTATTATATATTTAGTTTAGTCCCCAAATATTCCCCAGTTACTGTCTTTCTAGCTTGTCTTTTTCTTTAGCTGGATGTGGTTTACCCAAACTCGTTTGGGTTTTAATGGCTGCGCATTTGATTCTTCCTCAGGTACTGGGAAGGCCCAATCAATGACTAATAACTTTCCATTAATGTTCTTTTTATAAGTAAAAAAGTAGGTAGGGGACCACACACAAATAAGTCGGTAGAGCTTTACTTGTAACAATGTATTTAAATCATTTTCTTAATATTTTTTTCTTTCTTTAAGTATTGGTTTTGTCTTTTATTTTCTTCACTCCATAATTTAAATAAGTAAACTAAAAATTGAAACCAATGAAATAAATGTTGGAATGTTTAACTATTAGAACATCTTTTAACATTTATATTAGTTTTTTTATAATTGTTATAAATTTAAATATGTTTTTAGTTTCTTAAAGATAGTAAAAAAATTTCCTTGTTTTCATTTGTCTAAAGTTTATAAACATTGATTTTAGTCCTTATAAAATGAGTAAATTTTTATTTTGATCTTTCTAAAAGATTCTTTTGATTTTCATCTCTCTATAATCTTAAGTCGCTATTTTTAATCCTTAACGATCATTTTAAGATAAATAAATAACATATATTTTAAGAATTTATAAAAAAAAATTGAATATGAAATACCAATATAATATCGCTAACAATTTTGGTCAACATCTAAGATAATCACTTAATAATTTAATAATAAAAATATAGTTTAAAATGATCACATGACAAATAGTGACTAAAAATAATAGTTCCAATTTTAGAAGGATAAGAAATAGATAATTTTTTTTTTTACAAAAACTACAATCAAAACATACTAATTTTGTAGGGAATAAAAATATATTTAAGTCATTTTTATATTATTGTAATAAGTTTAGTAAGTTAAATTTTGTTTAAAATGTGTTTTTAGATGTATCAATTTCGGTCAAAATTAGACTTGGTTACTATATTTAAAAATGAAAGTTTTGGTTCTCGTATGTTTTATAAATGGTCAATTTTATCCCTCTTCCTAAGTCCCTAATATTTTAAGTTTTATAAAGAGACAAAAAATTTAGTCATTATTTGTTAAATCAAAGGATGATCTTAAAAATTTTCGAAATACATGTTTTACTATTAACAAACTCAAATGTTTTTGACAAAGAAATGGTTTTAAAACCATACAAGAAAGACGATAGTCTAAGATGATTAGTTATGAAGACATGTCACTTTGACAAGTCATTCAAACGAAACACTTTGTGTTAGGTCAAAACTCAAAAGACAAGTTTTAGATCTTTTTGATCTTGAGTTTTGTTGTTAACAAATATAAAGGTTTTTTTTATTTATTTTTTTTATCAACAATATAAATTTTTGAAATGACTAAGATGAATCTTCCACTAAGACGTAATTCGTTAGTAAGATAAATCTCGTATAAAATGATAGACTTATTAAGGCAATTGTGTTAATAAATTAGACAAACCCTAAGTCATAAAAAGAGATATGCATTAAATCTTTTTAATTTATGATCTCTAAACAAGAAACTAACTATGTTTGAATGTTTTCTTAATAGATCGAATTTAAAAATACTTTCTCGGTACCAATGTTCTACAAGAAAATCTCTACAAATATGAAAAGTTACAGTCAAAAGCTATTTTATCACTACAACGTCCTGACACACGCATGGTTTTACCTACTAAGTGCCAAAAGGTGATAAGTAACTTTCTTGATCAGATAAGAAGTGACAATTTGGTGAAAACATTTAATGCAAACATTTATTACACTAACTTACTCTTATCTCCTCAAGAAGAAAATCGTGAAAATAGACGAGGCAAGCCATTAGAGAGAAGCTCAAGAAATTGTAACAATCATCTTCATTGAAGCCTTATAAAAGGAAATTTTGAAGTTTAGAAAGAAAAGGGATGATAATTTAGAAAAAAAATATGATTTCTTCACGTTTCTATAATCATCTTTCTACTTAACCTATTGTATGACATCTTGAAAGGAAGATGAAACAACTTTTTAAACCTTAGTAACTTTAAGTTATTGGGTTTGAGCTCAGAAAGACTTGAGTGTAAAAGAATACTCGTTGTTTGAGCTTAGAGAGGCTTGACTAGAAAAGAATACTTGGTGTAGGAGCTTAGAGAGGCTTTGTGTAAAAAATAATTCTTGGGTAGATTGCTTAAAGACTGGAACGGGCTGTTCCAAAACCGGAACGGGCCATTCCCAATTTGGAACAGGCCGTTCCAAGTTTCTAAAAGGGCCAAAAACCCTATATTGGAACGGGGCGTTCCAGAATTGGAACGGGCCGTTCCAAAATTGGAACGGGCCGTTCCAGGGTCTTTTAACAAGGCTAAAATGTACATTTGGAACGGGTCGTTCCCAAATTGGAATGGGCCGTTCCAAATAACAAAAAAGCTTGAATTTTTAAATTGGAACGGGCTGTTCCAAAATGGCATTTATGTGTTAAATGCACCTCTGGAACGGGCCGTTCCGATTTCAGAACGGCCCGTCTGTTACCACCTTAGTTCTCTGCCTCTGTCCAAGAAACAGTCTCAATAAATGATTTGTTTTTGTCCGCAGCATATATCTTCAATTTTTTTCTTCTCAATTTAGAAACATTTTATATTTTCTCAATGCCAAATCTCAACCTTTATTTAATTATGACAAAGTGGTTTTCTGAAATCATAAGAGCGACAATAAGTTGTAAGAAGTTTTTTCCTTTTTGGGTCCTGATTGACAGCAGCCATTATGTTGTTGGTAAGACATTGGATATGTGAGTTGCCTTCCTGTCTTTGGAAGCTGGATTCTGCACAATAACTAACAAAAATATTGTTGAATTATGTTTTTCGTTGCATATTTTAGGAATGAAAGTTGAGGTCTAAGTCAGATATAATAGTTAGTATTGCTAAAAGCAACGAAGACCAAGAAGAAAAGGAGGGAGATGGGAAAATGAATTAGTGCTAAACTGTTAGGCATCCTTTACATCCTTACTTTGTAAAATCATTATTAATAATCCCTTTTATTTTCTTATAATGTACGGGAAGGTCCATGATAATGAGTAATTGTAGGAGCCATAAAAAAGTTAAACCACAAAAGCTAGCTTTATGGATGGGTTGGCAATTAAAGGTTTATAACAGAGGCTACTGCATCAGTTTATCCTAAATTTCGCTATGTGTTGCTTATGAGTCCATGTCTAAGGTAAATACCGCAGTTGCATGCTTTAGCAATTGGATAGATTGATACTATTTCTGTAGAAAAAGAAGGGAGACGAGTAACACTAATAATTGTGGGTGAACGTAGCAACTCACTGTATTTTTTATTGAATAAAAGATGGTCTTTAAATAACGATTGTACAACATACCAAATTAACAAGAAGATAACAAAATATCTTATCAAAACAAATCTTATCAAAAACTATCTTATCTAAACCCAGAACAGCCCGTTCTGGTTGCACTTTTAGCGTGTTAATTTTGTACCTGGAACGAGCCATTCCGGATGCAAAATTAACACACTAAAAGAGCAACTAGAACGGCCCGTTCTGGTTTCAGAACGGCCCGTTCTTGTTTTAGAATGGGTCGTTCTGGTTCCAGGTGTTTTCAAAAAAATTGGCATTCACGTGGCATCTACTTATGCATCTATGTGGTATCCACGTGACCAACAATTATTGTTGGATAATGGGGCCTGACGCCAACCACATACAATATATACAATATTATTTTGAAGCTACAAAACAAGGTTTGGTCTGAGTTTTGGTCTGAGTTTTGGCTGGTCAAAATTGAAGCCTTGACTGAGTACATGCATAGAATATGAGATTCCAAAAGATGAATTGCTGAGAATTTGCTTAGTTCTGTTACCACCTTAGTTCTCTGCCTCTGTCCAAGAAACAGTCTCAATAAATGATTTGTTTTTGTCCGCAGCATATATCTTCAATTTTTTTCTTCTCAATTTAGAAACATTTTATATTTTCTCAATGCCAAATCTCAACCTTTATTTAATTATGACAAAGTGGTTTTCTGAAATCATAAGAGCGACAATAAGTTGTAAGAAGTTTTTTCCTTTTTGGGTCCTGATTGACAGCAGCCATTATGTTGTTGGTAAGACATTGGATATGTGAGTTGCCTTCCTGTCTTTGGAAGCTGGATTCTGCACAATAACTAACAAAAATATTGTTGAATTATGTTTTTCGTTGCATATTTTAGGAATGAAAGTTGAGGTCTAAGTCAGATATAATAGTTAGTATTGCTAAAAGCAACGAAGACCAAGAAGAAAAGGAGGGAGATGGGAAAATGAATTAGTGCTAAACTGTTAGGCATCCTTTACATCCTTACTTTGTAAAATCATTATTAATAATCCCTTTTATTTTCTTATAATGTACGGGAAGGTCCATGATAATGAGTAATTGTAGGAGCCATAAAAAAGTTAAACCACAAAAGCTAGCTTTATGGATGGGTTGGCAATTAAAGGTTTATAACAGAGGCTACTGCATCAGTTTATCCTAAATTTCGCTATGTGTTGCTTATGAGTCCATGTCTAAGGTAAATACCGCAGTTGCATGCTTTAGCAATTGGATAGATTGATACTATTTCTGTAGAAAAAGAAGGGAGACGAGTAACACTAATAATTGTGGGTGAACGTAGCAACTCACTGTATTTTTTATTGAATAAAAGATGGTCTTTAAATAACGATTGTACAACATACCAAATTAACAAGAAGATAACAAAATATCTTATCAAAACAAATCTTATCAAAAACCGAGCTGAAAATCGAGAGATAGCTTGAATGTTCCTTTTGAGAAACAAGACTCCATGGAAAGCC